TCTAATTGTTTAAGCAACTTTATTAATTATATATGGTTTATAAACATTATTTTAAACATTATGCACTTTTTTTCAAAGATAGTCGTGTTATTTTATTACGCTTTGAAGAAACGTGCTTAATATTTTGCTCGATGCGCCCTCTTGTGGCCTCAGAAGAGAAGCCAAAAGCTTTTTTTTCCCCCTAACTGAAATTACGCCTTTTAAATTCTAATATAATTTGAATTTTGATTATATTTATGTGGAAAATTCGAATTTAGTTTTTCAGTCATTTTGACAGCCCTAATCAGTCAAACATCTTTAATAGGGTGCATCAAAAAATTAAAAGTACGATTTTCACTTTGGCCCTAGCATAAAGTCATTTCAATTAAGTCAGACAGCAAATGTGCAAAATATTTTAAAAAATGAATAATGTCTACCGGGTCCACATGCAGACCAGAAGCTGAGGCGTAACCTAAGGAAGAAGAACGGGACACATATACACATGGCCTAATGGTTTGAGAGTCTGACTTGTCATCTGAAGTTCGTGGGTTCGACTCTCAGTTCCAGCAGGAAATAAGTACTCTATTCCACATTCAATACCTACAACTCAGCTTGATGCCACACTCTGCACACTCTCTAATTGTTTAAGCAACTTTATTAATTATATATGGTTTATAAACATTATTTTAAACATTATGCACTTTTTTTCAAAGATAGTCGTGTTATTTTATTACGCTTTGAAGAAACGTGCTTAATATTTTGCTCGATGCGCCCTCTTGTGGCCTCAGAAGAGAAGCCAAAAGCTTTTTTTTCCCCCTAACTGAAATTACGCCTTTTAAATTCTAATATAATTTGAATTTTGATTATATTTATGTGGAAAATTCGAATTTAGTTTTTCAGTCATTTTGACAGCCCTAATCAGTCAAACATCTTTAATAGGGTGCATCAAAAAATTAAAAGTACGATTTTCACTTTGGCCCTAGCATAAAGTCATTTCAATTAAGTCAGACAGCAAATGTGCAAAATATTTTAAAAAATGAATAATGTCTACCGGGTCCACATGCAGACCAGAAGCTGAGGCGTAACCTAAGGAACAAGAACGGCACTGTATCAGGTTAAAAGCATCAATTATATTAAGAAATTCACGAATTGAAGTTCGTGGGTTCGACTCTCAGTTCCAGCAGGAAATAAGTACTCTATTCCACATTCAATACCTACAACTCAGCTTGATGCCACACTCTGCACACTCATTCACATCAAAATGGTGGAGGCAGTGGGTAAATAAGTAAAGAAATTTCATAAAAATGAGCAAGGCCTCGAACCCCCAATTGCTCCCGGGTGCTGCTGCAAAAACGGCTACCCACTGCTCCGGGTGAGTGTGTGTGTGAGGAACGGACAGAGAAAAAGACAGCGATCAATGTACTGAAGAGCATAATGTCTTGCTCGAGGACAGCAAAGAGAGGTTGTGGCTCATATATGTGCACACCCATCACCATAAAAGCACCAGTCGGCCTTCCCTTCAACTCGCCGACAAGAGGAGACGTACAGAAAGACTGTAGTATTATTCAGCTTACTCTCTTTTGCTGCTTTACGGAAAGTCTTTTAAGCTAGTACAACCGCAAATTCTCAGTGATCAATATTTCAGTGGCCATGCACATCAAAGCACCTTACAAAAGAGTATTAAATGGCTATGGAAGTTATTATGTTTCCTGCAAGTGTACAGACGGCTCCCGTGTGACCACTAGACCGTGTACAAATTATACAATGACTTTTAAGGGTGATGACTTTTAAAAATTCATTTCTACAGGAAATGATCATGCCACAGTCTGTTGAGGTTCATCTCCTGCAAAATAAATCATCTTTTGGTTGCCAAATGTCAGCTATTAAGTCTTAAAAAAAAAATGTTATTCTTTTGTGTGGTGACTCTATAATTACATTTTTAATAATGAAAGTATTGTTAAGAAACAGTTAGGAAAGTGTCTCACTATAAGTGCACTTAAGTGGCCTTTCATTTCATTAATATATTATCTGCAAGTAGTTTAAAAAAATTTACTTTTAGTATTTGAAGTACACATTTAATACAATTAAGCACAGCGTGCGTGTGTGAGTGAGTGTGTGTGTGCGTGCATGTGTGTGTGTGTGTGTGTGTGTGTGTGTGTATGTATGTGTCATATAAGTCATAAAGGTTTGGCAATGTTGCTTCAGCACAATAATGCTAAAAGTGTTTTTTTTTTTTTTTTTACTCATTGAACTGCAAATGCTAAGATTCCATTAAATATTCATATCTCAGGTGTGGTTGACCCGGTAAATATACAATTTAAAATATGAAATTTGGCCACAGTGTTTATTACTTGATATGGCATGCATCAGATAAAGGGCCAAAACATATTTCAAAACTTGTTGTTTGATGCACCACACCCTTTAATCTAAAACATTTCCCTAACCCTAATACTTTAACAACACATTCACATGTTCACGTTTCTCTGATATCAGTTATTGCTCACATGACATGCATGGAAACAAGTAAAATATTTAATCTTTTTCAAGTGTTTTATTTTGAGAGTTTTTATTTAAAAATTTATTTATTCATTTAAATTTTGCATTTTTATGATATGTTTTGTTTTAATTGTTTTTATTTTAAATTTGTTTTTGTTTTTATTTAATTAATTATTCGCTTTTTATCAACCATACGCTGTTGTATTTATTCGTCAAGAACTAAGATAAGATAAGTGTGAGTTCACACTACATCTCTGTATTTATGGTGCATAGGAGTTTTTTTGTGTCACGCGTGTGCTACCTGTGGCTGGGTTGATGCTGGCGGCGATGTGGAAGTGGCACAGTGCGTTAGCGTGCAGGATGTTTGTGCGGTGGCTGTAGTGTTTGTTCTGCTGCTGGGGCAGAGGACCGCTGTATGAGAGCTGAGATAAACACCGCACCTCCTCTCTCCACGACGGCTTCAGCTTCAGCTGGGAACACAAAGCAGATGCCGCTCTAGTCTCTCATCAGTCAAACACACAGCACATGACGCTCCACTCCTCCAGCGTCTCACCTCCAGCGGGTTCTGGTTCTGCACTCGGGTGCTGCTGGAGGACTTCTTCGTGCTGTTTGCCTTCATGGCGTCGCTGCTGCAGTGATTGTGTCTGAGTCCAGACAGCAGGCAGTCGCTGGGAAGCACTGTTTCGGCCCACAGGCGACACACACTGTCCTTGCAGCAGGTCAGCAGCATGTTACACACGGTGCCTCTGCAAGACAGAGCGGGACAGAGCGGTCAGCGGGAGCGGCAGGTGTCTGCCAGCCGTCACGCCTCTACTCACCTGGGCATGTATTTGCTGGTCTTCCTCCAGGAGAAGCCGGTGACGGAGCGAGGGTGAGCCAGGTAAATGAAGGAGAAGTTGATCTCGGCTCCGGAGCGCAGGTCGAGCGGCGTGAAGAGTTTGGTGACGTCTGCTTGCCATTTACTGGTGCTGTACCACACCTTCACCAGACAGTCGTCCTGCAACAACACAATCCTTCAATAACTGTGCATTCAAGTCATGCCAGAAAGATTGTATTTAGTAGCTGAGCGCGTGTTAGTGAGAAAACATGAGAGAAGCAATAGATACAGTGTCTATATTGATGGTATATCAGCATCAAAGAGACCGTAGCCTTTGGTGTTGTTCTGTAGAGCTTTTATTTGCATGTTTTATAACGTTTTATGAGTTATGCATTAACCCTTAATGCCAATTCTACTTCATTCTGATACTGTATTTCTTCTTTCAACCCTTTTATTGTTTTAAATGCGCTTTATAAATAAACTATATTCATGGCAAACGAGTAGTACGATTTAAAATAGTCTAAATAACAATATCATGTTTACAAACTAAATGTCTTAACAGACATCTTTAACATCTCACTAAGCTAAGCAGTTGTCCCCACATGTCTCAAGTCCACCACCATCACCCCAGTACCAAAGAAGTCACCTGTGTCCTGCCTGAATGACTATCGTCCCATAGCACTGACCCCAATCATGATGAAGTGCTTTGAGAGGTTAGTCATGCACCATATCAAATCCAATCTCCCCAACACACTTGACCCGCTCCAGTTTGCATACCGTCCAAACCGCTCTACAGACGATGAAATTTCCTCCACCTGGCTCTTACCCACTTAGAAAACAAAGACTCTTATGTTAGAAGGCTGTTCATCGACTTCAGCTCAGCATTCAACACAATAATCCCACAACAGCTCATCAACAAACTAAACCTGCTGGGCCTAAATACCTCCCTCTGTAATTGGATCCTGGACTTTCTAACCGGAAGACCTCAGTCAGTCCGTGTCGACCACAACACCTCCAGCACTACCACACTGAGCACAGGTGCCCCACAAGGCTGTGTGCTCAGCCCGCTGCTCTTCACGCTACTGACCCACGACTGCACTGCCAAGTTCAACTCCAACCACATCATCAAGTCTGCTGATGACACAACTGTGGTAGGTCTCATCAGCAACAATGATGAAATTTATAACGTTTTATGAGTTATGCATTAACCCTTAATGCCAATTCTACTTCATTCTGATACTGTATTTCTTCTTTCAACCCTTTTATTGTTTTAAATGCGCTTTATAAATAAACTATATTCATGGCAAACGAGTAGTACGATTTAAAATAGTCTAAATAACAATATGTTTACAAACTAAATGTCTTAACAGACATCTTTAACATCTCACTAAGCTAAGCAGTTGTCCCCACATGTCTCAAGTCCACCACCATCACCCCAGTACCAAAGAAGTCACCTGTGTCCTGCCTGAATGACTATCGTCCCATAGCACTGACCCCAATCATGATGAAGTGCTTTGAGAGGTTAGTCATGCACCATATCAAATCCAATCTCCCCAACACACTTGACCCGCTCCAGTTTGCATACCGTCCAAACCGCTCTACAGACGATGAAATTTCCTCCACCTGGCTCTTACCCACTTAGAAAACAAAGACTCTTATGTTAGAAGGCTGTTCATCGACTTCAGCTCAGCATTCAACACAATAATCCCACAACAGCTCATCAACAAACTAAACCTGCTGGGCCTAAATACCTCCCTCTGTAATTGGATCCTGGACTTTCTAACCGGAAGACCTCAGTCAGTCCGTGTCGACCACAACACCTCCAGCACTACCACACTGAGCACAGGTGCCCCACAAGGCTGTGTGCTCAGCCCGCTGCTCTTCACGCTGCTGACCCACGACTGCACTGCCAAGTTCAGCTCCAACCACATCATCAAGTTTGCTGAGTGGCACTAACAACCTGTCCCTCAATGTGAGTAAGACAAAGGAGGTTGTGATGGACTTCAGGAGAAACTCTGTTGACCACCCCCCACTGACCATCGACAGCTCGACTGTGGAGAGAGTCAGCAGCACTAAATTCCTGGAGGTGCACATAACAGAAGACCTCACCTGGACCACCAACACCACATCACTCTCCAAGAAGGCTCAACAGCGGCTCCACTTCCTGCGCCGACTTAAAAGAACAAGTCTCCCTCCACCAATCCTCACCACATTCTACAGGGGCACCAATGAGAGCGTGCTGACCAGCTGCATCACTGTCTGGTACGGGAACTGCAGTGCTGCTGACCGCAAGACCCTCCAGCGTACAGTGAACACAGCTGCAAATATCATCGGTGCCCCTCTCCTCTCCATCCTGGACATTTTCCTTACACGATGCTCCAGCAGAGCCACCAGTATCGTGAAAGACCCCACTCATCAAGACCCCACTCATCAAGACCCCAAGACAAGTGATTGGATTTGAAATTATATTTTCTTCTTGCAAACACAAAGATTCTCGAGCGAGCATCATATTCGACTGGAGGACAGCAAGAATTTGGGTGAATAGTGACTACAATTTTGTTCTGTTTTCTACACAAAACAGTCAAATGACTTGGAATAATGTGCATATGTCATATATGAACAAACACAAACCTGTCCTGCGGTCGCGAAAAACTCTCCATCTGGGGAAAACTTGATGAAGTGAGTCGGAGCAGCGGACCTGTAACAACCAGAGAGGTTTTATTGGAGCTGCCTGACGTGTATTCAGAGAAGCTCGGTGTGATGTGATGGACGAACACTGACTTGCATTGCCATACGCATCTCCAGGAGCGCCGAGGACCGGCGGATTCAGCCTCCTCTTCAGTCTCTGCACTGGACTGAACATCACACCACATCTGCAGACACGCCGAGCCCGTCAGAAGCCATGAACCTGTGGACAGCGTTAGAGAAGAGAAGTGAGCGGCCCGTCGCAGACAAGACGAGCATACGCTGATCTCACGTACCTGTGGTGTGCCACGTCAGGATCTGTGCGGCCGACTGCAGAACAAACTGCCCGCTCTTCTGCCAATGATAATTCAGTTTCTGCTGAGCACAAACACACACAACAAATCATTCACATGCATGCATTTGGGAGACACGACTATGCAATGCATTCAACATGTTATCAGTTCATGCATTCGAACCTTATGTTCATGACCGCTTTAAAAGAGTGTATTTATTCCAGAAGAAACTCACGTTTTGTGCTTTCCCTTGTGGACTGACCTCCACCGGCTCAAACACACAAATAATGTTTCCGTATGACGCTGCGATCTGAAAACAGAGCAGATTTAGAAAGTCTGCACAGTAACAATCCTGTTCGGATGCTAGTCGAACTCTTGCTGAATCCTAAAAACGTTCCCCGATCACTTCAAACGCTCTCCAATGTAAGCATTCATTACCGCTGCTCATGTCTTAATGAGCCATACATGACAGTATTTGCTACACAAGGACGATTCTGATGTTGAACTCAAGAAGGGAATCATAGACATGCGTGAATAAAGGGAGAAGAAATCCAATATCTGATTTTCACTGAGCTGGCCTGTCATCCATAACGAACCCTAACAAGCTCAAAAGACTTCACATATGACGGCTGTTCGGTATTTATTATTCATTCAAGACCAATTAGCCAGAGCAGTCTCTGCAAACACACTTCACACCCTAATGACGAATCAGATTTATACGGCCTTACGAAATATGCTTTCTTTTCTGGATACCGTTTTAATGGTTCAATTTTAGCATTGTCGAATTAATTGAAAACATGAAATGTACACAATGTAACAGCAGTTTATTAAAAGTTTGACATATGAAATCCATTTTATTTTTTTTTACAATTCCTGTTTTATTTATTCTCATTTAAATTTTCCATGTTTTCCATTTTTCTGGATTCTGTTTTATTAGTTCATTTGAATTTTAGCAATCATGTCTAATAATTAATTGAAATCATGAAATGTATACAATTCAACAACAACTTATTAAAAGTTTATCAAAAGTTACATTTTAGGGCCCTAAGAAATTCTCTTTATTTTTCCCAAATGTTACTGTAATCAGTTTTAGTGGTGTACAATGTTTCAAAATGTAATCATTTAATTTGTTTAAACAATATTAGGACCCTATGTATGTATTTATTTGTTTATTTACTTATTCATTCATTCATTCTGTGTTGTCTATATTTTTCTGGATTTATGATTTAATACAAATACCATCAAAAATGGTGGTAATCAAATTGAGGCATATAACGTTAAGAATTGAATTAATCTTTTAAAATGTAAAGAATGAAGTTTTAACAATTCCTTTTATTTTTTTGGTAAACAACTAAATAAAAACACACCTCTCATTACACAGAGACACACAGACAGTCTTTATGTGCTTTAATATTCACAGAACTCGCTTAAGTGCAATTTTCTTAAGTGCACATCCTTACTTTTGATGTATTCATCCAAATTCTGTCAAATTAGTTCATGCATTCCCTGGGAATCGAACCTATGACCTTGGTGTTGCTCTAATGTCTGCGCTACAGGAATGTGACACTAGATACGATAACCAACTAAAGTTCAGTCCTTTCAAAAGTTTAAGAAATGAGACGTTCAGAGAGGAAATGAGAATGAGGCAGCATGTGTGACTGACACCTGACAGCCCACCTGGATGTTCCCGTGTTTGGCTCCTGGGATGATCTGGATCCTTTCAAAGTCACTCCCCAGAATGACGATGTCACAGCCAGAGGCGTACGCCTGGATCAGCAGCACAAATATATAGTATATGATACATAAATATATAGTATTTGATGTGTGCGTGATGTTGACAGACTGAACGCTGCTGCTGCCGTTATACTGACAGACATGAAGAGTTTGAATCGTCTTTGACATTATTTCTGAACATATCGGACAATATTTGCCTTCATATTTCATGCATCTTTTCTGCAGAGATATTTAACAAGTGAACTTCAAGTGTGCCGCACTTGGAACAGAGCTTTCTTTAACCAGATGGTTCATAAAGAGAATGTGACTTAAATCATCAGTTTTTAATTTGACTAGTTAAACATTTAAAAAAATCCGGCTCAGGTTTACCGTGAAGGGCTGGTTGTTGACGCTGCCCACAGAGAAGCAGTTTTCTCCAGGGTTGACGGCTCCTGTGAGCACCTGGTGCAGGTTCATGCTTCTTGGCACACTTGAGTTTCAGCACGAACCCCTGGAAACAGACGGAGAATCAGCAGAAAGATAGCAAACACACACCTGTCCAGTCTGCCTTCATTACACCTGCTCTGCTGAAGCTTCATGTGGAAGTTACTAGAATGCAAAACCACGGATATATTCCCAAACCACAACCATTATGATCACGATATAATCTCTAATGTGGAGAAGGGAGCACAGGACAATATATACTTTCATTATAAGTTCATTTTAAGAATCAGATCTTGTTTTAAATGTGTGCTGAAATAAATACTGGAAAACATCGATTCGCGGCTTTTGAGAATCGATATCGAATTGACGTCATTAAAAAAAAACGATTAATCGGAAAATCGATTTTGTGAGCGTGTGTTTGTATGAGTGTGAGTGTGTGTGTGTGTTTGTATGAGTGTGAGTGTGTGTGTGTGCGAGTGAGTGTGTGGGTGTGCGAGTGAGTGCGAGTGTGAGTGCGAGTGCGTGTGCGTGTATTATTCCTCTCTATATTCTGATGGTTTGTTCATATTTTTGATTTATACAACATTTTTCTCGCAAAATGTGTTTGCGTCTGCCTGTGTTTTCCGATTTATGGAGCGATAAAAAAAGAAATCCAAAAACCTTTAACTCTAATATGACAATTAAATCAAACAAGAATTATGAACCTGGATTTATGCAATGTTCAGATTTATGTGTTGTTTGCATATTTAATTAGATAATGCCTCATTTGCATATTTTATACATTTAATGTCTTAATGTACTGTAATTAATCAACTAGGGAAGCATGGTGATATTTGTTAGTTCACCTGTAGTGTCTTGCCTTAAAACACATCTATACCTAATATGATCATATACGTCACATTTATTTCAAGGCATTTCCATAAATAGTTTGACATACACTAATTTAAAAGTTTGGGATCGGTAAGATTTTAATGTGTTTTAAAGAAGTGTCTTCTGCTCATCAAGGCTGCATTTATTTGATCAAAAATACAGAAAATACAGTAAAAATTGTGAAATATTATTATGATTTAAAACAGCTGTTTTCTATGTGAATATCTGTTAAACTGTAATTTATTTCTGTGATGCGCAGCTGTATTTTCAGCATCATTACTCCAGTCTTCAGTGTCACATGATCTTCAGAAATCATTCTAATTTGCTGCTCAAGAAACATTTCTGATTATTATCAATGTTGAAAACAGTTGTGCTGCACAATATTTTTATGGAAACTGTGGTACAATAATAATTGAGCAGCAAATCAGCATTTTAGAATGATTTCTGAAGATCATGTGACACTGAAGACTGGAGTAATGATGCTGAAAATACAGCTGCGCATCACAGAAATACATTACAGTTTAAAGTATATTAAAATAGAAAACCTTTATTTTAAATGGTAAGAAGATACTTCTTTAAAAAACATTAAAACTCTTACTGATCCCAAACTTCAGAAAAAGTCACATTTACTATAATCTCATTTTAACAACTTGTGTAAAACCACATGCAAAATGAATACAATTCTATCCATCTCACAACAGCTGTAAACAACAACAAACAAATAAGTAAAGAAAATAGTGCCGGGGTAAAACTGTACAAACATTTACAAGAAATTAAGCGCCTCATGAGTCATGTTTGATCTATTGTTTCTAATGCTGATTCATAATGTTTAATCTGGTTTATAAACTGATCAAATGATGGCTTCTCTTAAGTCCAGTTCCTCACATGAATATGATTTCAGCGTCAAATAAACATCTGTCTAATACAGCAAATATGTTAATATACTAACATATCAATGCCATTCAAACTGAACTCAGAGTCCAGTCTTACACTGATGTGTCAGTCATGAGCTTTGCACTCTTTTAATGTCTAAACTGCCTGATACTTCGCTTCTGATCCAGCAGCAGATGTTTATCTTTAATATTTAATCATCCCTGTCTTTAGTAAAACAGTTTTCTGATTTTCTCTCGGTCACAGCTCTAGCTCCTCAGCTAGCCATGCTAACATCACACTGACAGCTTAGCCACAACTTTCTGTGACAATCCATTAAAGATATCTCAAACCCACAGTTCTGGACCGTTTCGGTGATCCGTGTCACTCACATCATGATTAACGAATGCACTTCTGATGAATTTCCATTTGAAACTGCTGCTGTTGTTAGCCCGTTAGCATTAGCATGACAGCGGGTGAACATAAACAATGAGAAAGAATCATAAAGTCGCGCGTCTTACCTCAGAAACGGGTTTCATTTATGCTCAAGTTCAAGTATAATGTGTGTTCCTCTCATTATGAGAGATAATTAAGACACACAGTGATTTGGTGGAGTTTGTGTGCGGAGACTCTGCGGTGCGGGTCAGGAAGTGAAGCGCGCACTGCATTCTGGGAGTTGTAGTCGCTCTCTGACCGCACGTTAGTCACGTGTCTCATTTAACACTGCCTCGACAAAACAACAGTATGTAAACGGGTGTTTTAGCACATCTGAACAATATTGCATGTATAAAATATATTTAAATATAATTCTATTCATAATATTAGTAAAGTAAATGCGACCTACGTGTGTGAACATACTGTATAATACATTTGAATAATAATCAGCAAGGAACATAATTTACAATATTCTACATTTAACGCAATACCTAACTTATAAACCGACCGTCTGCTAGCCGCCTCACGTCACAGAGGTCTCTTTCACCGAGATATCATACTATAGAGACCGTGTCTGTTCCCCGAACTAGCAAATACAAAAAACGTCCAAACAAATTTAAGGGTGACAATTTAATTGATGTTCAACAAATAAAAAACAGATAAACAAAAGCGCTTTTTGTAAATCATCTCATTAAAAAAAACACAACTTGATCCTAGAGAATTAGTTAATTACAGACCGATCTCAAATCTCCCTTTTCTGTCAAAGATACTAGAAAAGGCAGTATCTTCTCAGCTATATTCCTTCTTAGAGAGAAATGGTATCTGTGAGGATTTCCAGTCAGGATTTAGACCGTATCATAGTACTGAGACACAAATGA